TCACTATTACAGTGCTGATGCTCATGTAAGGCGGGGTCTAGTAGGGATAAAAGTTGAGAATTATGAGTGATCAGATAAATAACACAGTCCAAACACTTATTTCTATAGCCCACCATTTTTAAAGCACTAGTTTGACAGGAAATATTCATGTCTGCTTCCTCGCCAGAAGTTACACAGGAAGATGATTACCACTTTCGTATCTGTATTGAGATGGTGATTAGCTTAGCTTAAGGTGGAAAGGTGAAACAGCCCGGCTCTATCTAAAGTTCAAAATTACACCATCCTCTGAAGCTAACTAATTAGCATGTTATATCTTGTTTGTATTATACATAGCTACATTAACAGAAATGTAAACATCAAGCACGACACATAACAAGCTGTAAAACTACAAGTTGCTGTTTTCCTTTGTACCAAGCTAAGCTAAGCTAATCGCCTTCCTTGCTCCAGCTCCATACTTATTGTGCAGACACCGGAGTGGTAAAGACTTTCTCTTAAAGCTCTCAGAAAGAAAAAGGCAAATAAGTGAAGTTCCTTAAGTGCCAAACTATTACTTTAAATCATCTAAAGTCCACAAATCAAAAAAGGTTTAAATCAATGAGGCACTAAAGAGAAAAAGAGATATAGATGGGAGGGGAGCACAGTGGGAAAACATTGTGTAGGCTATGTCACAAATAAAAAAACCTTGAAAACCTGAAATCAATTAAAAACCCCTGTACATCTCTGTGATATTAAATTTTATATTATTATTAAATTATAAATAGAGTCCCTGACTTTAAGTACTTTCTTATACAGTCCCAACCAGCAGTTAAATCTGCAGTGAAAATCCCTCCCATGTTCAACTACTGATGTCAGGCCAAAAAAGAAAGAAAAAAAAACTACAAACAGCAGAGAAGGACTCCATTGTTATTTCTAACTGGTAGAAGCCCTGAGGTTATTTTTCCTCTGCCTTGAAACAAATCAATGAAGCACAACTCACTTTGAACAATTGCACATTTGCTGAAATCAGATGTGGGTTGAGGAGCCAGCCATCATCGCGCTTATTCTGTTTGTTGACAGAGGAGGACTTTGATAAACAAGCCTGTTCTTTGAAACAGGTGCCCAAGCATGAGTTCAGTTTTGAGAGGCAATTCAGAAAACTGACTGATTAGAGAGTGTTTGTTATTCTGCATGCAACCATTTGGATTCTGTGTATCCTTCCCAAAGTCACAAAGAGGCTTTTGGTATAAACAGCGATACTATTTATTTTTCAACTAAGATAACACTAAAAGTTTGACATGGATATTTGCAAAATTTCAAATAACTCAGCAGTGAAATTGTCTGTCTTCTCCTGTCACTTTGATAAAAGTATCAACAAACAATAAAACTTGATAAAAATCAGCTTGTGCAATGATGATTTCTTTAGTCAACGTTGCCCCCAAGTGGTCATCCTGGAAAATGCATGACATTTCACTGAAGTACATGTTCCCATTACAAAACAATTAACATTCTAAATCTTATGAAGCTTTGCACTCATTATTATTTAACTGGCTTTGATTTCATCATTCTAGTTTAAAGTGTAGGCTGCTTTCTCATCTGAAAACTGAAGTCATGGCTAAACCATGGTGTGCTTTCACTGGCTTTTCCACAACAGTAAACACAACATGCCCTTCTCCCGGTTCACAAACTCAGCTTATCCTCCCTATCAACATATGGAAGTGTTTTCAAATCGCTATCTACTAGCAGCAAATGGTCTTAAATCAGTCATTTTAATATCAAAGCACTTAACACTAGAATGATGATTACTTGCAGGTGGCTATCCATGCTGCTTGTCAAGACTGCATTTGAAGAAAATGACTGAGCTCTTATCCGACACGTACAGTACAGCCAGTGTTCAATAGGCAAGATCACATTACAGAAGATTACTTTGGAGTTTCAGCAATTTTCCCAAATTACACTGGCCTTTGGTCTCTGGTAAACTTGATTGACTTGAATGGTTTTCATTAGAAAGCCTCGGAGAGTCTTTGCTGTTGATGTTCGTACACAAAAGTCGAGGCATTTTGAGGGTGAGCGGGTGCAGCTGGGACACTGGAAGTGAAAGGATATGCAAATCCTTTCATGGAAACGCTTCATCATGTTTTAAGGGAGCATACATTCTTGCCATTTGATTTGTGACGCTCGTCTCTGCTTCCAGGCCTGACAAAACCATTTGGTGTCACTTAGCTGTCTTTAAAAAGAGCTGATGGGTAATGCAATGTGTATGAAGTATTGAATCAGTGCAGGCTTTCACAACCAGTGTGTGGCAGGAAAGTACTGCAATGTATGGAGTTTTGATGCATTCAGTGTGTGTCCACAATAACACAAACCTTATGTGATTTACACTCACTGTCATATTTGAACTTGAGAATAACCCTCCTCTGTCTCACCCCATTGAAAAAATAAAATGTGAGTAATGGAAATCAGTTAGATGTCGCACAGAGCCTCAGCCCAGACTGACAAGAAAATGGCCATGAATAACATGACCACCCTTATTACCCCTCTAGGAAAATACTTAGAGAGGGATCCAAAATGAAGAGTAATCCGGATACACTTTCAGTGTCACAAAGAATAACAGCTATTTATCCTGGCCGGAGATATTCCCATGTTCCCATCAGCTGTTTGGCTGCTTTACCTGCTGCTTCCAAACTGAAATCCAAGAGGTATTAAAGGGTGGTGTCATGCTTCTCTTGCATTAAGAGACTAAATCACCCAACCATACACATGAAGTACAAATTAATTACTAACCCAGGCCACGTAAAGCTGAATTTTGATGGCTCACTCTAACTCAGTGCTCAAACGTTTAAATCTCTACAGCACACAAGCTGCTGCCACTGGAAAGAATTAGACAGTTAAACAAAACAGGAACTCTGCGTCTGGCCAAGTTTTCTGGGCAGATATGCAGGTTTGTGGTGCCATCTTGAGGAGATTTACTGACATAGCAAGAAACCGCTGTGCAAGGCTTTCAACTGCAAAATAAATATTTGGGTTTCGTGTCCAGAATATCAAATATCACTTAGGAGGTGAGCTGCATGTACTGTAAGCAGCTGTCAACTGTCTGCAGCTTTGGAAAAAAGGGGAGATATGGTCAAACAGACCAAATGGGGCAATAAGGAGGAGGTTGGAGCTTTAATATTACATGTGTGGTTATGGGTGTTGTACCAGTTTGTTACAGTTGGAGAATGAGGGTCATCAGTGAAAAATGCCCATCATACAAGATCAAGGAGAAGGCTCCACCCACGCCTCAGGGTTTGCTTGACGCGGCCCTCATGAAAAAAGGCCTCATCACTGGCAATCTTCCCCCAGCCTTCTCTAAAGTTGGAGTAAACATGAAGTCATGTCCACCGGGGGCAAAATGACATCCTATTTAGATGATAACACTACTTCAATGTTAGTTTTTCTTTAATCATCTTAGCCCCATTGCGTCCACATTGCATCATCCTAATATGGCAGTTCAGAGTGTTTGAGGCACAGGATGCACACACTCCAGCAACAGCCGTCATCCAGCTGACCACAGCGTGGGTGTTTTTAAAAATGAGCAATCTACATACTAAACAATGCCAGACAACTTGGTTTCTAATGCGTTAGCTAGGTCTGACTATCTACATAGCAAATCGCCCATCTGGTGGCAGTTTTATCATTAATCTAATACTGACATTCAAGGAATGCTCTTCTAACTTTAAATGTGTTATTGGTGCCAAAGTAGGCCTTCACATAAATGATGACTCCAAATTCAGTGGGTTGTGGGAATCCACTGATTCAACTCTAGCAGCAACACCAGAGGTAAAGTTACAAGAAAAGCAGTGACACAATATTGTGGGGTTATCCCCTTACTCTAAGAGGATCTGAACTTCCCAAAAAACAACGCTGAGTGCCTGGGTGATGAAGTATGTGAATAAAATCGACATTGTTCCTACACCAGAAGCATCTGCTTGCTCTTTAAAGATGCCCCTGTGCTGCTTATGAACTCTGTTAGCTGGCATGCTGGACCTAAAGGTGATCAGGGTAAGGACAGACAATAGGCCGTCTAAATCACAGGGAGACTACAGAAGGCAAGCCCCTGTCTGATTTTACCAAGTATCACAGTGAGCCTGTTGTTGTAGTGCTGACAAACAAACTGTAGTATTTCAAATGCACAGTTGCCTGAAGTTATACTTAGATCAACGTACAACGGAGGTTCAGCCAGCAGCTGTACCACAAGCAGGATATCGCTAAAGTTCCAGTTGTTTTTAAATAGCCTTGGCATTGTTTTTCATTGCATCGCACCAGATAAGCACCAGGCTCAAATAGGTGATGTGAAAATACTTGTTATGCAGCTTTTTCATTGTTCCACTGTTGATCTACTGTGCTGCATAAACACTTGGTAGACATAATTACTGCAGCAGCTGCTCATCTACAGTAGCTTTCATGGGTGACTTATCAATTCAGTTCACATTCTTACTTCTGTTGGAGAACTACACAACAAACAAAACTTCACTTAAAAACTTATTTAATATGATTATTATATATTAAACTTCCAGTTATATAAAATAGATGAAATTATATAGATACATTTAACTGCTCCTTACATCCTTATGAATCTGTAGTAATAACCCAATAACACATGTATAACTTAAAAACACTATGAAAGGGACTATTCTGTATGAGATCTTGAAAGTGTACTGAAATACATTTTGTTGATACTCATGTGCTTTAAATAAAAACTTGAAGGCAGGATTTTAATTCATAATCGCGTTCTTCTTTTTAAATCATGAAAATACTTTATTGAAAGAGTTAATATTTTTCCACCACTGATCAAACAACTAAAACTGAAAAAAGATCTTGTACTGTAACAAAATGAACTAAAGCATGGGTATTTGTGAGCATGATTCACTTGCTACATTTTAATAGCAATAAAAGCATCTAAAAAGTTCTTAGTGTGAACCACGTGCGTGTTCCCAAATCCATGTTTGCTCAGCATGTTTGCGTACTTGCTCTCTGTTCTCTCCTGTCCCTCAGTCTGGGCAAGCATGTTCAGAGACTGCAGAGCAGAGTAGGGCGTCTGTCCAGCCAACATGGTCTCAGCTATGAGCACTGCACATCCTAAGGTCCAACATAAGAGACTGTTCAAGACTTTGAAAATTATAAAATAGCTAATAACACATACACAATAATATACTTTGTTTAGTGTTCAAAACCTCAAAGATAAAGAGGTTTTTTCATTTAATGAATCTTTACAAAACACAAAAAGACTATTACTGATCCAGAGAGGCTGCTTTACAGACTCATGCTTCTTCATAAAAACATTGATCTTGGCAAAAGTTACCTACAGAATACAGTATACTACAAGACCTTTTGCATAGTGTTGTTCAGAATGATTTCAGTCACACTTTGATGCAAAGCATAGCATCCAGGAAGTTGTCTGTGTGTCTGACATGTGCTGCGATGAAACCGTGGCTCTTCAAAAGCAGGCTGTATTCTGTCGCGCTCCTCTGTTTCCCCTCGCTCATGCTGAGGGCCTGCAGCAGCCCACGACTCGGGGCCCCTCTGTCTTCATCCAGGAAGATCTCACTTATCAGGAGTCCACAGCCTGGCAGCATGGTGCAAGTGCGTGATATGTATGCAGATGTACAACTTTAGAGAGCAACAGTGGTGGTTTTGTATCCCCTTATCACCTTGCATTTCATTTCTTTAGGCAAAGAATAATTCTCAAGGAGAATAAGGAGAAAACAAAAGTACCATCATGTTTTTTAGCATTGTAGTTTGGCTTTGAATTTACCAGCTTCTTATAAAGTGTTGTTTTACATTTCACAAATGTGCTATCATTTTCAGCTTTTACGTCAGTTGAACACTGACAATAACAGGCTACAGCAGCGGTTCTCAACCAAGTCCCACAAGTGCCTGCCTGAAACCAAATTAAACAGCAGCTAATTTTATGTATCATCTTACCAGAATATGGGAACTAGTAGTAAGTAAAATAAGGAACCACTCTTGCTGTAGAAATGGAAAACTGCTCTCAAGTTTCACTGACACATGACTGAAAACGTCATTCTATGTTAGCATGGACTGATAGGTCAACACATGTAATCAAAAAGATGTAAAGACTTTTTTACCTGGTGTGCATGCATCTGCGATTTTCCTCAGCAAAATATGCACCTTCTCATCAGGCCAGTCATGAAGAATTCTCGCCAGGATGTACAAGTCTGCTTTGGGCAACTCGTCTTTAAAGAAGTCTCCTGTTCATAAAGCCAAGAAAAAGTCACAAGTTTTGGTCACAGAGTGAGAGTCACTCTCTCTCACTCTCAGAACAAAAAAATAAGTTAATTACAGTCCATGTTTAACCATTAAACAGTTAAGATAGTTGTCTTTGTGCTAATAAACAAACTGACCTGCTACAAATGACACCCTGTTGTCTTTTTGCAGTGGATGGAAATGCTCACTCATCTCAACAACAGCGGGTAGGTCAAAAACTGTCACAGACAACCCAGGATGGGCTTTAGTAAACTCATAGGCCATGGCACCAGTGCATCCTTGAGGAGGAAGAAGAAGAAAAAAAAAAAAAAAAAAAACGATGAGAAGAATTGGTTTATTATTCAAGCACCCAATTTTAACCTCTTACACTTTCTGCTTACCTCCGAGGTCACAGGCCGTTTTATATCTGGAAAGGTCAAAGGCTGTTGCCACAGCTTTTCCTGTAACTTTGGCAATGCTGTGCATGGCATTCATGAATCTCAGTTTCACTTCTTGACTGTTGTAGTACGCATCCTTTAAAAAGAGACATATGACAGAGACGAATAGAAAATTGCACCTGTGAAACATTTTTAACTTGATTTCAACTGCATTATATAAACCTGAGCCTAAACTTGATAATCACCTGAAACACATCCTTAGATATCTTGCCAAAGGCCTTCTCATGCTGGTTGGTACCCTCCCGCACAGCACTCTCAAGGTGGGAGAAAAGAGGCCATATTGTGTTGTTACAATGCTGGATGTATCCGTGCAGGGAAAAAGGCGCATCTGACCGCAAAAAACGCATCGCCAGATCTGTGTTCTCATACACAGGCTTTTGGAGCGCTGGGAGTGAAGACACCATTAAACATGTGAGAAGTTGAATATTACATGTTTCAATCACTTTAAGATAAGAAAAAGTGGTTATCATGCAATTATCAACAGACTGAGTGCTGACTAACTTCTCTCTTTGCTCTTCAACAGCCCCAGAGACACACAAGCCTCCAACAGGCATTCAGTCCCCTTCACAGAGGCTTTGATCTCCTGGGCCACCTGTGCTGCATCCAGCCGTGGTCTGCTATGTAGCAGGTCAAACACACACAACTCAGATGCAGTGAACAGTGCCTGGAACAAGGTAGAATGGATACAGACGGAAAATTTTATTTGTGTGGAGATGATGTGATATAAAACAAATTTGTGCTGTCAGATCAAAAATGGCAACTTTTTTTTTTTTTTTATTTCTGTTCATTAAAACAAAAACAATCTCCTGTATTCTACTACAGTTCCATAATAGTGCACATCAAATAAGGAATAGTTAAAGGAATAGTCCAACTTTTTGCAAAATATGCTTATTTATTATTTTTGCCTTGAGAATTAGATGAGAGGACCACTCTGTCTGATGAACATGAACCAGCAACTCTAAAATATCTCACTATTTAACACATTAGATTTGTTTATTTCATATCCTTGTGGTCACCTAAGGCCTTACAACTGCCAGGCAACCAGCACAGACTACAGGAAGTCATGACACCTGAACAACAAATAGTGCAGCAGCACCATCCCCCTTCCCTTGTAAAACCACATCTTGTTGTTTTGCACCATGTATTTTGTATGGATTAAACAAACACAATATAATACATCAATTTGTGAGATTTAGAGATGCTTATAAGCAGGTTAGTTTTTCCTTTGCAGAGCCAGGCTAGCTGTTTCCCTTTGTTTCCAGTCTTTATGCTAAGTTAAGCTAACGGTCTCCTGGTTGCAGCTTCATATTCAATAGACAGATATGAGAGTGGTATCAATCATCTAACTCTCGGCAAGGAAAAGAATAAATCTATTTCCTTAGATGTTCAACTCCTCCTTTAAGATGAGCTAAACACTTCATTACATCCTCTGGGAGTTAACTACTACAAAACAAAAGTTAAAAGTTAATATTTCACAATGAAAAACTCTTCACATAGATCTTAAATGTAAGACACAATTTATATACAATTACCTTTGAGGCTTTGAATCCGTCCATTAGCGCTGTGATTTGTTGCAAGTCCTGATTTTTAAGTTCACTGTCCTCGTGCTCTGTCACATTGAGCTCAATCGCCTGCCCTCTGCTGGGGATCAGCGGTAATGTTGCATTCTCAGAGTCTCGGAGCTCAGCTGCTCTGTTTTCTGTATGTTTAGACAAGCTGTTGACCAACATCCAAGAACTCTCACCCGCTTCACTTTCACTGCCTTTCCTTTTCACCTATAGGAAGATTGTTTCTTGTAAATAATAATAAAAAAGGTAATGGATTGTGCTCATAGTGTGAGAAATACTAACCTTATGGACAGGACTGAATGAAGGGCTGTCATTGGTGGGGTGTGTTTGAGTGGCGGATGGGCTGTTAGGCCTGGGGCCGGGTGAGGAGCTGTGTTTGGCTGAAGAACTGGGAATGTGGCTGGACTGAGCTGGCAGGTTGGGTGGGGGCTGAGTGGTTATTGAGGTGGTGTGAGTGCCGTTGTGGCTCACATGGACAGAAGCACTTTCCTGGTCAGAGGAGGAAGCACAGTGGTTGTAAATAAGGTCCAGCTGTTTGCAGAAGTGGTTGAGGGGGAAACCCACAACATTGAGGAAGTCTCCATGGACGTACTCCACCAGCATGCCCCCAAGAGCCTGGATACCATAACCGCCAGCCTTGTCCCTAACACACACAGAAACACATTTCACTGACACAGCAACACATTAACTCAAAATTATATTATATTATATGTGTATGTGTATGTGTTATACATATGTTATACATGTGTTATATATATATAATATATATATTATATATATAAATTATATGTATATTATATATATAAATTATATGTCTAATACTATGTCCCTCAGTTGCAGAACAAATTAAACTATACACTCTCGCTGACCTGTGTCAAGATTTTATTTCTTGCTGACAAAATTCCTGTCAAATAGGACAAGGCAAACACAACAGGAACAAAACTCAGGCATCAAAGTCCAAAAAGCAACAGGTTCATGAACATCCAGTCAAATGGCCTTCAATGATTGAATACGTGGTGAGGTTACTACACACTACGTGAAATCAATAGCTATTACATACGTAAGAGTTCAAACGTTCATACTCACATGGGTTCACCACTATTGATATACTCCCACAGCATATCTTCTGAGAGATCAGCAAACTTCACCTTTGTTTCTTCGTAGAAGTCAATCAGCTGGTAATCCACTTCTTCATCTGCAGGTCAGGGAAGTTCAGAAATGAAATTTTCTCACCAATAGAACCATTACATACATAAGGACACAGAAGAAGAAAATAAACTGTATAACAGTAAGTCAGTTGTAACTCACTTTCTTTCTCATGACAGAGGACAATAGCTACACCAGTGAAGACACTGTGCTCTTTACCACTCAAGCTGGAAGAAGAAGTAAAAGATAGAAGTGAGAAATTGTAAAGAACATTTTTCAGTTTCTCATGTTAATTCAGACATAAACTAAGTAAAGGACACCGACCTTGACAGCATTCTGTAAGCATCATGTTTGTCCACTGGCTTCTCTAGAATCATGCCATCCACAGTCTTTAGAAATGAAAAAAAACAAAAAACAATAAACTTATATCACAGACATTAAACAGATAAAGTGCTGTGATACCTTCTTACACTTACCACAATAGTGTCTGCTCCAATTACTATGTCTGGAGTTTTCAAGTGTTTCTAAAGCAAATTAAGACACAATATATTATGAATACATAATTCAGCAGAAAAAATAATCTGTATGCTGTCATATAAATGTAGCTTAACTCACAAAGGGCATCCTCCTGGCCACCTCCAGGGCTTTCTGTTTGGCTGTCTCAACTGCATACTCATGAGGTGCTTTGAAAAGTCCCTTGTCAAGAGTTTCTTTAAACCAGGACGGTACCACCTCAAAGCGTAAGCCCTGACATGGAGAGGAGCAAAATGTATCATTATTTTCATTAAGACTGACATAATTGTTATCACATAAGAAAACAAAAAAGAAATCCAAACCTTTAATCATTCAGCCCAGGTTTTCTTAACCTTAGAGCTAGCACCATACATTGCTACTTATATGTATAATGGGTAGGTGCAGTGAGTTTAAACATTATTTTTTCTTTTCTTTTTTTTACCATGTGTTATGAAAACACTTGTTTTAATTTGAAATATTTACTGTACGGAAATACTTTTCACTTTTTTTTTTTACAGATAGTAAAAGAACAAAAAAAGAGAATGCCATTCTCTGAAATCATTCAGAGTCATGAGCCACAAGAGAGAAACCTTTCCCAGCTCAATTCAATATGTACAATTTTATGTTTTCAAAGAAAGCAGCTGTGACATACATGCAGCTGCTATGAGTTTAACCAAAGGGAAACATACCGCATTGCGGAGAATCTCCAGTCTCCTTGGAGAAGCACTTGCCAGCACGACCAGTTTACCAGAGAGCTTGGAAATGACAGGGTTCAGCACCATGGTGGCCCTCTCGTCTAACTGCCCTTTAGGTGATGAACAGAGTTAAACATTACAGATCTGGCCTAGTTTAGGTCAGAGACTCGACTGCAGCTGTTCAGTTATGCACTGTCACTGAGGATAGACCTATAACTATTAGGCGATTAGTCAAACAAAACAACAACAAATAGAATTACAGATTTATCATTTAAATCACATATACAAGTAAAAATGCTAAATATTTACACATTAGAACTTATTCAGTGTGAGGATTTGCTGCTTTTCCATGATTTACTCACTGTTAATGCAATACCTTTAGGTACAAAGTAAGCAATATAAAAGAGTCCATTTGGGCTATAGGAAATTGCAATGGACATTTTTTAACAACTGTCTGACATTTGATTGAACTAAGATTAACTGATTAATCTAAAATGAAAAGAATCATCAGTTGCAGCCCTAGGCCCATATTTCTCATACATGCAATCCAAGAGGAAACTGGGCTGATGTCAACACCTCCACTAGTGTTAGATGCATCAAGTAAGCCATGATAACAAAGTTATATTTTTAGTTATTCCAATATGTGTGCAATGTGTGCCTGCATAGTACTCGACATGCGTAGTTAACTACTCTGCTGCTCTGCTAATGCTAACTTGATGTTAGCTACATCAGTTGATATCAGCTATCTTGGTTTGTTTTCTGGATTTTAGGTTCTGTAACTTAAACAAAAAGCTCCCGTAAACTGTAAGTTAACAAAACGTTACTGTAGCGTTTGGTCATAGCCAGGTTACGCCCTTTCAAAATGACACGGCTGAATAAGCACAGGCATAAAAAAAAACAGGTTTCATGGTCTTTAAAGTTAAATTACCGAAGATTTGCAGTATACCACTTACCCGCACAAGTAGGAAACTGACAGTGAGAACAACTTGCTACGACGACCAACGTGATGACGCATACGCGATGACGTAATAACGTCGACGGAGCCACCAATTGTATACCTGTTACAGGAAGAGTGCAAACTGCAAGTGCCAACTACTACTACTACTAGTAATAATAATAATGATAATGATAATAACAATTTATAAAATAATTTTATTTTTTTGAAACAAAGCAAGTTAAATAAGTAGGTTAAGAAGAAGTTAAGAAGGACAAAAAGAAACTAGCCAAACATCCAGAGATATTTGGAGACATTTAAAGTGACAATATTGGAAATGTTAAAAGGTCAGCTATGTTTGGGATATGAAGGCTAATATATTGCAAACACTTTAATCATGGGTTTTTACACACATTTGCATGCTACATTCAGTCAGGATAACTTTTATGATGCATGTGGCAGATCTACAGACAGTAAATGGTTACTCATTCTGAAAAAAAAAACCAAACACATAATGGAGAAGATGAAGATTAATTTTGGCAAACGGACTCAGCTGCAGTCCATGATCATTTGCTTTGTGGTGCACATAAAAAACTAAATCAAATGATGTTCATATTTGACCCAAGAAAAGATGTTGCAAGATGTTGTCACATGCACACTCACACCTCTGGCACACTCTATTTTTCTCTCACTTCCTTTCTCGTGTCTCTCTCACCCTTTTTTCTCTTTTGTCACATTCCCACTCTCTATGCTATGGTGTGCTCTGGTATCAAAGACACTTTGGTGTGTTCTTTCTCTTGACCTTCATAAACGCACTATGACGAGTACAAACTCTCTTTATTATCCATCTTCATCGAGTCTGCGCTACTCTGGCTCTGCAGATTCATTATCTGTCTCAGCTTTTGTCTGAATTCCTTTGAAGCAAAGTAGTAAATGAAGGGATCGAGGCAGCTATTCACACAGCTGAAACAGAGAGAAAGTTTGTAGGCCATGTAGGCAGACTTATTATAGAAGAGCCTCAGCACACTGTGAACCAACAGGAGGATGTTGTTGGGTGCAAAGCAAATGGTGAAGACCAGGAGAACAAAGATGGCCAGACGTATTGCTCTCTTTTTCTGGGCTGTCTTGGAATCCCTGGCAAGTTTGCGTATGACACTTATATAGCAGAATGTTGTGACACAGAATGGTAAGAGGAAGAGAAGGAACACCATGCCGAAGATGAAGGTCACCCAAGCCTGCAATGACGGAAGCATGTCTTTCTTCAGCACATCAAAGCAGGTGATAATCCTGAGATCTTGGATTTCAAAGGTCAAGTCTGTGGTCATCAGTGGGTACAGAACACTCAGGACCAAACCCCACATGAAAAGGCAACTGATGACAGCGATGGACTTCCTCTCTCTGGTTTGCTTGAATTGCATGGGCCTGATGATGCCCAGGTAGCGGTCAATACTGATGGCCATCATGGTCAGGATGGAACAGTACATATTGGTGTAGAAGACGAGGGTCAGGAAACTGTAGGTGGATACGTAGAACAGTGTTTTATTAATCACTGGTTATAGAAAAATGATGAGCATGAAACAATAGTGATGATTAACAATAGTTTGATATTCTGAGAAATGTGCTTATTTTTGATCTTGATTCTAGACTCATATCTGATCATTTAGTATGAATCCACAGCTAGCAGATAGCTAACGTAGCTTAGGATAAAGGCTGAGCCGGCCTGGCTCTGTCCACGAGTAACAAAATCTACCTCACAGCTCCTCTAAGGATCAGTAAGTGATTAATTGTGCCTTGTTTGTTTAATCTTTGGGAAAAGAGCAAGTCACTGTGCCTGTCCATGAAATAGTCTGGCATATAAACCCCCTGCAATAAAACCATAACTTGTTGTTTTTACCCTTTAGAGTTTGTATGAATTTAACAAACAAGATATAAAGTGTTAATTAGTGCTCTTTAAAGGGCTGTGGACATGCACTGTGGATTTCTGTTGAGGGACACCCTCTATCAATGACTCAACATCATCCTGAAGTCATGAAGAATACCTGCACATATTTGATCCCAGATCCCAGTGGTATCCTTTGAGCTGGTAGGCAATCTGGAAGGGCAGGGCAGTACCGAGGGCCATGTCGGTGATGGTAAGATTAATCATGAAGATGATGGAGGGAGTCTTGGGTGTGGTACGGAAGATGAGGAGCCACATAGAAAGACCATTTGCCACTAGGTTAATGGCAGTGACGATCATGTAGATGACAGAAATGATGATGCTGGTGTTCACATTCTGAAACAGGAACAGGGTGGCGTTGTCTAGCTTGGCGCTGCTTAAATTTCCCGTCATGACTGGATGGTAATGGGCTCCAATCACCTGTGTGCCAGGGTTTAACAAAAGTTTGTGAGGTTTGTGGAAGACAACTTTTTTTTTTTTGCACAACATACTGAAATAAAGCAAAATCATTAACATCTTAATCTATGACGGCCATCTAATTGTTGTGTAATAAGTATAAAACCATCAGATATCGTACACCACAATAGGAAAAGGCTCTAATCTAACCTCCACCTTATCTAAAGTGACGCATGCTGCTGAATGAAAACATTTGCAAAACTGTGCAAAACTGATTGATGTCAAGGTGTGAAACAGATACTGTAAGATTCACTGCAGGCTACCATCATTCTGTGTTGTTGTTTGCGTGCGAGAAGCACATGTTGGGTGGAGTTTTCACACAGGAAAAGGACATGCATGATTTGTGGTGCCAACTGCCGTTCTCAAGAGTACAATTGACACACACAGGGTTTAGGGGGTACATTCACAACTGCCAATGATTATATCATAAACGATTGAAACTAAGGGGCAAGGAAAACTGAACTTCATATAAGCTCCATGAAGTGGTTAACTCAACACAAGCAGGGAAACACTTTCACTGGAACTTGTCGCACATGGTGGATGTGGTGGTGGTGTTGGTAAGGGTGGAGCAGTGGGTACCACAAATTGTTGCACATTGTGCATTGTGCAGTTTTCACTGGGAGTTAAGCAACGGAAAGAACACAACACTGCACTTACAGCAATAATGATCAGAACAGTAGTAATGCCAAGTATCACCCTTACTAGAACCCTATTTTGGGAACAAACTGTATCAGAAAAAAATGAGATTTTTTTAGGTTATTTGTTTTTTTTCCTCCAGCAATTGATTACAACTACAAAACTGTCAAAATATATATATGGTAAAGTTTCTTTCTCTCCAGATAATTCTTTGTTGTACCTGCAATGGGATCAAGTGTTTCTTTAGCCTATTTTTATTTATGTAATGTTATACTCTCACAATATATTTACGTGGACAGTTACCACTTCAGGCACTTCCTCTTATATTAAATCACTGAGGACATTTTAAAAAATCAAATGTTGATCAAAGAGTTTTTACTGAAGTACACATAAATACAACAAAACAATACAAAAGTATTACGCAAGTGACACATGGCACAGCTTAAGCCCAATTCACAACAATATTAACGCTGGAAATAATGTTTAAAGATTAGTAGCTTTCCAGAGAAACCTCAGTATAAATCAGTTGACAACTCACCTAGACGAAGGCAAATAAGACGAGAGGCAGGTACTCCTGACTGTGTCTGTTGCAGATGGAGGTTACAGATATTTTGACTGCCAAGGAAATGTGGTCTGAACTTGTAAGAGTTACCACAAGAGAAAGGAAGTGGACCACGTGACAGTCTCTATCCTACAAGCAGTTATAGCCACGCGTCAGATACAGTCTTGGAATGACTCTTAAGACATGTTCATGTGTGAGACTCCAGTCTCCACGATCACCACTTTGGTTGCCTAACTCCTCGCCATGTGGTTCATGAATTATGGTGGCAATCACTGCTCAACTAAACCAGTAAACGTGGGACAACTGAACACTAGAAAGGGCTCATCGGAAACCTGAAATGAAAAGCAATAAAGTTAGAAGTCTGTACCTTCAAAGTGGTTGAGGTATCAAAGAGTGTTACTTTCATTTACAAAGTAAAACTTGTGACATGTATGCAAATGTAAGATTTTAAAATCCTTAAATGCTTATATAGTGCAAAATCCTAACTGAAGTTATCTAACAGCACTTTTCATATGGAGTAGGTCTAGACCGTTTAAGACCATATAATATTATCATAGACAGCAAACATTCCCCCATGAGCAAGCACTTGGTGACAGTGGTAAGGAAAAACTCCCTTTAAACAGCTAGAAACCCTGAACGATACAATAACATAATAAAACAACAATAGTAGGGCAGGTAATAGGACTAATAATGAGACTAATAACAAGAAGACTAATAATAACAGATCCAGAGTCTGCAGCTCTGGAGGCCAAAATACCTGTAGACAGCAGCAGTAAAAAGTAAGATAACCTACAACACACACACACACACACACACACACACACACACACACACACACACACATACACACACACACACAAGAAAGAAAGATTTAGTGAAGTGAAAAAACACTCATTCTTCACAGGATGTTGCTATTGCTAGCTTCCTGTTGAACATCACATTTCTGCTTTATCTGGGTAATAGTTTAAAAAACAGTTAATTAATTATTGTGTTTAATGCGATTGAGAATAATGAGAAAAAATAACACTTTTATCTTTCACAGTAACTACAAAACTTCCACACACATACTGCTTGGCTTCAGGTATTTGTGATCACAACAAAATTTAAAGAGCCTTGGATAACCTGCTTCCAGTATGGCAAGCAAAACAGCCAGACATGTCAACAACCACAAACGCTTAAGTCTTCATAAATTGCTAACTATAGCTGACTCATATCTGCCATCAGTTCTATGGGCAGTGCTGCAGACAGACGTTGCCAAACCCAAACTGTCAGAGAAGTACTACAATGACTGAAACACTGTTCAGTCTTAACAGTAGAAGAGATTTATTTTCTCACAACTTAAAGGAGAAAAAAAAGATACAAGAGGTATGACAGGGCATATGCAAAAATAATATAAAGCTTGTTAAACAGACTATGATACTTAATCAATATTTGTAGCTTTTCCATTGCATTTAATTGACATAATTAATAGAAAACCATGCAAACAGCATAGAAAATTCATAGTTTTCAATTATCTCTGTCATACTGCAATCTTACATTTTATTTCTAGGAAATGTTTTATAGAAATGTAGACAGTGTGTTCTTCCTGGCTCATGGCTGATCATGTACAAAGCTTTGCTCACAAAAAAAATCTTGAATCTGTTGAGGACTAAGATGGACCAAAAATAAAAAAAAATAGGACAAAGTGGTAAAACATGTTGACATTGTCCTCTTGGTCAATAATAAGTCTTCCTCTCAGTCACTCACCTTTACACACAAAAATACACACAGAATTCCCCATGTTTCATTTTCTACATCCACTCTCTGTAAGTTCTACTTACATTATATTTCATTTTATTAAAATCTATAGGATCATTAAAAAGTTTGAGTGAACTCTACAAAGGTTTGGTAACAAGTTGTGTTGCAGAGGATGAGATGATGGTTTCACGAGCAGACTATTGATGGGCAACACACGTGAGCTGGGACAGAGGAACATGCTTTAAAAACACGATTGTGTAAAGAAATGACACTTGACTGCCTCGTGAGACGATGCTTTGATGAAACTGATGACTAACTCCCGGGAGGCAGTTTAAAAAAAAAAAGATGTATCTGTGCAGCAGCACTAAGATAGCAACTAACTGTGGGAAATCAAGTTAATTGTTGTGCTATCACCAAGGTAACTACTATTGTTTGCGCCTATTCTCTGTATTTTTCAAACTGTTTATTCCAAAGATTGAAACTAATGGTTCACTTTGATAGTTCTTTGAATATTAATCAGTGGGACACTTCAAATACTTGCAAGTGCTGAAAATGTTCATGGTTGACCAACATTCAAAGCTTCCTGTTCTATTACACCTAAACACTGATGACAGTTACTAAAAGACTGTTTGCTTTTGAAGTGCTTTCTCCCTCAGTGGAGTTTATTAGTTTTATAAGCTCAATGATAACCAGTCGAGCCTGTCACCATCAGCTTCGGCTCAAAGGCTGAATAAATTTATTTGCATTTCCTCTGAACACCCAGGCTGCTCACTGCTCGTCTTTGCTTTTCTCAAACCCCTTTTCCAGCCCTGTTGCCATAGTGGCAACCTCATAGCAATGCTCTGTCCCGGGTTCAGGTGAGGGGCCCACAGGGATGCAGTCGTAGCCCTTGCCCGCCGAACTCATGCGCTTGCGGTTGCGTGCACCTGGCTGATAGAGCTGCATGGCTGGACGGTCCTGCAGGGAGACAAGAGAGCAGGGACATGGGAGAGACAAGCAGCACACAATTTGAATCCGTATATTCATATATGCATACTCGGTTATTTTCTTAATTCATGCCTCAAGGCAATGAGTATCCTGTTTGTGTTGCAGCTGATGATTACCAAACTGCATATTAGTGAACTTCTGAATCACAGTCATAATTGCAACATGAAAGATAAAGGAAATAGTTTGTAATCCCCAGCACCCCCCCCCACCGACCCCACCCCCACCCCCACCCCCAAAACTCATGCTCACCTTCTCGCTCACCTTGTTTCGGAGGCGTTCCTTCCTATTACCCAGGTCCTCCCTGTCCTCCTTTCCTAGTTTGTCTCCACTGTCAGGACAGTAAGAGAAGCCATGATGATGCCCCTCTTTCTTGGCTCGGTCCTGGCAATAGCCCTTCCCCCATTTGGTTTCATCTTTGCGGCGCATAAACTTATCAAACTCATAGTGGTGTCGCTGCCGTTTCCGCTCTTCATCTTTCCCACGGTGATCCTTATCTCTCTGTCGACGTCCGTGCTGCTCTCTCTGCTCCTTGTCGCTCTCAGGCTGGCCTCTAGTGGCCAGAGTGAAGATTGCATAGACACCAGATGTGTAATTATCACAAAGACATTGTTGTTATCATGAGAATTCTGGTTACCTTTCAACAGAAAAGTGTATGTTTTCTCCTACCATAACATAAGGACATACAGTATATTCACATTTAAACCCATTTTACCTATAGATGACAAGTAATATCTATGTTTCCCAAAGAATAATAATCATGTTTACAAAAAAGGTTTTAACAATATTAAAAATGTAGCTTACTCAAACTTTGTTATTGTTTTTAATAATAGACCTGATTTAACAGATTCCAACCCTGCTACTGTATGTCTTTAATTGTGGTGTTGGAAACATGCTAAAATGCTAATAAATGCTGAATACAGCCATCAATAATCTGGATTTCTCTAAAACTCAGCAAATCCAATGACAAGACCAAAACAAACAATGAACTGATCCACCTAACAAGTGGATCAAACCATTCAACTAACTGATCCACTTGTTCAATTCACTGATCTCCCTCCAACAGCTAAAACAACACAAGTGGCATTGGCAGAAGATACACTCACCGACAAGTTCCCTCAATTATCTACTGATAAAATGACTAGTGACTTGTTAATACACTCTAATTATGCATGAAACTGCTGTCCCCTGTAAGAGGCCAGCTACAGTGATAAATTTCACTCACTTTTCTTTGGGGTCCTTTGACTTCATTTGTCCTCCAGCTTTCTCCCATTTTCCCCTGTCTGTCTCCCCAATGTCACTTTTGTCTTTCATTCGGTCTGAGTCCACATCGTCGTCTCTGTCACTCTTCTTCAGGAGCTGAAGAGACGTACAGATAATACAGGACAACTCCATAACTATACACGACAGCACCGTCCAAACAACTAGTATAAAGAAGCAAGTACGAAAATGATTTCTAGAGATACCTTGATTTTGATGTCTTTATCAGACAATTTCTTCTGCTTCTCGGCCTCTTTCCGTTTGCGTCTCTCCTCCTCTCGTCGCTTTCTCTTCTCCTCCTCCCTTTGCCGTTTCTTTTCAAGCTCTCTTCTCCTCCTCTCCTCTCTCTTCTCCTCTCTTATTCTCTGTAAGGAAAGATGTGGCAATAAGAAAGGATTTTTCACATTTTTCAAAGTAATTTGCGGGTCATTTTCTTGTCTTTATTACCTGTTTCTCAATTTTCTTGTTTTTGATGTACTCTAATAGGGGTGTTGTTCGCTTGGCTGAAACCAAAAAAAATCCCCAAAAAAACAGAGAAAAAGGGAGAGAAGCAAACAAACGTTATATTTTAACTTACATCTGGATCTTGAAACTTATTCTAATGATAAACGGGAAAATGATCATCTGTGCATATGATATTGTACCTATGAGCTCTCTGGTCTTGGCCTCTATCTCTCCCAGCAGAGTCTCAGGATTGGCCATAGACTTCTCCTCATCACAGGAGTAATTCTCCAAGAACCGTTTATATTCTGGATCTGAGAGGGTTTCAGGGTCAAGATGGATAGAAATCAGTAATGCCGAACATTGATTTTCTGTGTATCTTACACTGGAACAAGTTATCTACAAGCTAAATATCACAGTATCATGGCTCTGTATTTCAATACCTTCTTCGATACTCCCAGCTTTGGCATCTTTCTTTTTTAGCTTCTTCTTAGAAATTTTCTGGAAGGGGGCAAACTCCACCACGGCAGGATACTCCTGGCCTGAGTAAATATTGGAATAAAAGGCAGCTCATCATTTAACACACCAGCTATCAAACAGTGACAATGTCAACGCAAGCTCTAAAGCCACCTCTCTGTCCACAAAATCCAGCCTTGTAGCTGTAAAACAAACATGTTTCTGTTTGCATTTCATATAGCAGAGCAGGTCACACTGTTTATCCACCTTCATGGCACCATACTGACAACAAAGTAAAACTGAATTTAAGCAAAAGTCAAGAATTACCCTTGTTGTCAATGAAGACATAGCCGTCAAATCGGTCTCTAAACAGCAGGATATCTTCAGGGTTTTTGAAATTGATGTACGCTCTGGAGAACAGGTGAGGATAGAGACTGTGGAGAGAGAGAGAAAGACAAAGAAGGAGAAGTCGTAAACAGTTTCATAAAAAAGAAAAGGCAACAGGCTTTTGCATATGTTATCATACCTTTGATCTGCCGGAAAGAACTCAAAATAGTCATATGACGGCAGTGGACTGAGCTGTTCTTCTAGTTGGTCCTTCGACAGGTTTGGTGGGAGCCTTCGAATCACCACCTGCAATATTTAACATTTAAATATTTTTTCTGCTATTCAGCATGTGGTGGAGGTAGCAATGTATTTCTACAAAGAGGATGGTTCAGATTTGAGCTTCTCTGCTTTTCAGATGTCGCTGTTTACACATCTAAGTGAAACATATATGTCCAATTAGGGTTATCTGATCATGATGGGTAAATGCTTTTATCTGTTGACTGAAATACACAGCCTGCAAAAAACTATCGTATATTTTATGTTGTCTGAACTGTATTTTGACCACTAGAGACACCAAATATGTCAGGCTGGATTTTAGGGAAAGGAGTGTAAAATAATGTACATGTAAAACATTTAAACTGATGGAGTCTTAGGTTTGGACATTTCACTCAGCTCATCAATAGGCAGGGACAAGCTGATGCAGAATACACAAGTATAACTGTGTTTGACAGTGCAGAATAAAAACATTTTTTAACCTTACATACAAAAAGGGAAAATATAAGGGATCCAATTGTGTTTTAAGATCTTAAACAGAATACAATTATGTAACACATAAATGTGCACAGACCAAATAAGCATTTTAAAGGCATCACTTTGGGTTCTGCGGGATCTGCAATATTTTTGACATTTTAAACACTAAGCAATTACTTCAATAGAAGAAAAAGATTGGTTTGATAAATATCGAAAATTATGATTGGTTGCAGCACTTCTCAGAATCACATGACACCTTTACAACTCTTTAAATACTGGGGAAATGAGGGGAAAAAAGGAGTTGCAGAGCGTCAAATGTTGACAGAGCGTGTTTTAGACCACAGATTATGCAAGCATATGGACAGGTTTGGACGTAGTGTTGTGATAATTTTTTGTAGTCAATATTTAAACACTACCTGTAAATGTGAGCGTCATTTACAAACTAAATCAACCAGGCCATCAAATAAAGTCAGAAAGGTTAGGAAATGTGAAAATTAGGCCGATACAAGGTTAATGTTTACTGTCGCTGTCCGCGGTTCTGAAACGATCCCACCTCCCTCCATGCCTCCTCCATGTCTGTTTTCCACACAGCAAAAGCAATGCGACGCAACGCAAACGATCGGCTCACTACCTTTGTAAAAACTTCTTTCTTCTCTTCTTTCTGCTTGGGGTTACACGGTGTGTTTTCTTGCTCTCTCGGGATGTCCCTGAACTGTATCTCGACGACGTTTTTCTCCTTGCCCACGGTCATTTGGTCCTTTTCAGACCTCATTTCTCTCCATCTCCCTCTCCAAGCCCGTGTTTAGTCACCGTGTACTCGCGAGAGTACGGCGATATCGCGAGCGGAGAGAGAATTAGAAAGACGGCTCTGTACTGTCTGGATATACCTCTTGTTACGTCCAGTTACTATCAAACAAATGAAACAATGAAAAGGAAACGTGCATGGGTTATTTTTACATTATATTTTTCGAATACATTTTTATGAGCATTTTATTCTTGATTATATAAAGTATCACCGAGTATAGTGCATCAACATTCATGAATACTACCCCTACGAATACAAGTAATCTACTTACAAAAAGTTACAAAATAATATATAGCTTAATACGGCAGATCATTTGACTGATATCAACATACTGAGACAATATGGCCACAATCCTCCATGGCAGTATTACTGTACCCTGTTTTTTGTGAGTTGCACCATGATGACCTAATGAATTATTCCTGAAGTCAGTCAAACATTTGATGTGGTCAGTAGTTGACTATTATATGTAAACATATCTTAGAAAATTACGCATCATAGGTGCACTAAATCCCTGCTAAGAAACAGTCGTTTCACAATCAAGAAGTGGAAATAAACCGACTCCCAGTTGTTGTATTAATGTGCAGTATGTCTCAGTGTCTCTACAACTGCAGACTGGAGTCGGTTAAGCATCCCCGCAGCCTCTCGCCGCGCAGGTCCGGGGGTCGAGCTGCGGGGCTTCATGGCTTCACTGATCCACACATGATGAACTGCCTGGAGTGACGCTGCCCGCAGAGCTCCAAGAGTCAGGGCAGGAGGACTGACTCACTGACCGCCCGTGGACATCTCGGCAGGGAACTGGGGAGCAGATGGAAAAAAAAGTCAGAGAATGATCCACAAATCTAACTTTTGAACAGGAAACACGATGAGCGCTGAATTTGATGCGCTGCTTTTTGTCTTGGTTGCAATAAAATGGACATGGCTCCACTAACACTTTGACACTAGAGGAAGAACTCTGATGTTTCACGAGCATGTATGAGACATATCTGAACTAGTGTGTTTTGTAAGACAACCCAGTAAACATGTTTATAACTTTTATTAAACAGGAAATTACAATTTTATGAATGTTCTATAAACTCACCACTGAGGAAAGTTTGCCTGCCACTGCTGGTCTCCACACAGAGCCGAGGTCTCTCTGGTGTTGACACGGAGCTCTTGAGGCTGGGAACAAAAGTGGAGCAGGTGTCCAGGTCCCGACAGACCCTGTCCTGGGTGTAAATGACTGCCGACTTAGACGGAGTACAGCCCATTTCTACAGCCGTTATCCATTGGAAAAAGGTCCGGGAGGAAAACGGAGAAGAGATGAAGAGAAGTCTTCACCTGAGGTCGGGAAAAATCACTCCTCCCCTAAATCGGAACATGACATTTGAGGGGAAGGTCTGAGCTCCAGTCCGGTTCATACTACATGTACTGTACATCACTTCGCATCTTTTTCTCTGGAGGGGTTGGGGTGAGGTGGTAAATTCTCTGCTCCCTGCTCAGGAACTCTAATCTGCAATGGATTCCCTGCTTTGAAAAATGAATTTGCACGATTGCCTACTCAATCCAAACAATGAGTTTTGCATTCTGTAAAGATTAATGTGTGTTGAAAACATTTAACACATTTAAATTAGAAAACTGTTTCTAAAGAATGTTTGACATTTTTATTTGGCTAATTCGCTAGTTAAATTTGGTTTATACTATTAACTATAACTATATGGGAAAATATAAGTAACAGAATCTCTGACAAAGTCTAATATTAGAGAAAATTTAAATTTGTAAGTGCGAGATTTTCATGCAGCCAAAGGTTTTAAATGAAACATAACTAGTCCATTTCAAAACCTGTAATATAACCTACAGCATCTCACTGAGGATTATGTCAATACACAATAGGTAAAAAAAAATTATAATAAAAATGTACCAGCCCTATAGCTACATTTGTTCTGCCCATTTTAACAAATCAACCAATTAATTCTAATTAACACAAAAAACAGGTATGTTAAATTTTTAAAGATAAATGCACAGTTTATTGTTGGAATTATCAAGAACTGTTTTCAACAAAAACACTTGTATTTAGCTGGCTCTTTATTCAAGGTGAAAATCCACAGGTTAAGCAACATGGAGGGTCCTGCCATAGGCAGTAATAAGTGACTATAGTCTTTTAGTTGTGATACGAGATGTGCTGCTCTGTTCAACCAAGTGTCAGAGGATCACATGTTCCCATTGTCTTCAGGCTTAACCCAAGGTCCAATGCTAAACCTAGTACTCAGCCCCTTAACCAAGGCACGTGTTATTTCCCCTTTTAAAGTGCATTCTTGCAAAATGAATATGATGTACAGCAGTTGCTTTGTGTACAAATTCACCCTCACTTTTACTCAAGTTCATAATGTTCACGATGGCATGTTCTATGTTTTGTCACTTACAGAAACAACCATATCTAATGCACAAGAAGGGGATTCCACAGGAAACCTTTGTTGGAGGGCAGGTGCCAAAGTTTTGGTTTGAATGTTGTCCTTGGGCTTAGATATGTGTACCTATGACAACCTGTTGCTATGACAGTTCCACCTCCTGACAGGATGAGATCACGTGCTGGTGTCTGACAAGGTGTCTAACATGACATCGCTCTCATACATGTCACACTCCAGGGTTAAAGAGAGTCGAAGAGGCGTCTCCAGCATCATCTTGTCGTGATTTGACATAGATGTTTCCAAAGACGCGATGCTGGTGTCTTCCTGTCTCGGCGTGGCTAGAGGGTCACCAGGCTCCGACGTGTTCAGCATCTTCATCAGCGCTGGAGTGTTCAAGCTGCCTCGCATTTTGTCATTAATGTCTGTGCCTTAGTGGAAACAAATGACAACATGTTATTGGTACAGAGACCTCAGAGTTGGTGTGAACTTTGTACAGGTTTTAAAGATTCACTGACTCAGAACAGAGATTATTTGCCATAAAAAGGACAATTTAGCTGATGCAAGTAAAATAAAATTAAAAAATCGAATTTGTCTATTGTGGTATCTAGTCCTACAGATAAGTTTGGATTTGTCTGCTGAATATTTGAGATATCTGCCACTGAGATCTTGCTCCAAAATTTTATTTGTGGTGCCTATGGCAAAAAAACATCTCTTCCCAAAGACAGTGTCCCAGTTACTCCAGATAAACCCAGTAACATGGTGTCATTAAAGTAGTGGAAATACTAGTACAGCTGTAACACTCAAATAATTAGATTTTTCAAGTCAGCCCACAAAAGATTTTCACAATAACTTTTCAATGATAAAAATATCTGCAGTATAGCTGTATCATACCTATATAGGCATCTGTGTCACCAATGTACATCTCTATGCAGTGGCCGAGCATAGTCACAGAGAAAGTGTCGTCCCTTTTCAGTCCAAGTGCCTGCCACAGAAAGACGAAATACAACTTTGAGCCTCTTAAAAAAACAGATATTTTTGATGTAAAGAAAAATCAACCACAGGTCATTTCCCAACAGAAACAACAACAAAACAAACAAAAAAAACAATAAAACAAAAACTGTCAAGTGTCATATCATCAAAACCATCATACTGTATTTTGGGTGATGTCACCAATCTATTATATAATGTGGTTTTCTATCCATTCCTCATTTTATTAAACTGGATTTTACTCTCGCTACTGTGTTCTCACTAAAAAGCTCTGATTTCCATGGTTACGCCTATTCTTGCTTGTTTTCTCAGAAGAAGCCATCAACTCTCCCTTCTATGAGTGGTGTCAAACAAATGATACCAAATAAGAAACAAAATCCATCAAACTGAGTGAAAGGGGTTTTACCGTGTGAAAGTAGTCGATAGCACTTTCGAAGTCACCCATGAGGCTGTGTACATATCCTATGGCAGCGTAGGTGGAGGCGTGCTGAGGGATTAGGACCAGTGCTTGACGGTGGTACTCCAGTGCCTGGTCGTATTTTCTACAGAGACCACACCACAATATACAAAGTTGATATCAATGGATTCAATTTCATACGCAGACGATTGCAGACGTGACACGATACATCTCATCATAGAGTGTATTTAAAGAGATTTTAGCAGGTCAGCAGGTCTGTAAACTGCTGCGCCTCAACTCATACAGCATCATGCCTTTAATGCTTAAATAAGATCATTGTTTTCATGGCAAAGATAGATAAGCAAAAAAGAAACTTTCCCAACAGAAGATTATGTCCAAAGTATATAAATAATTTAGTTATAATCATTTTGAAAAACAGTAATGTATGAATGATGCACCAATAAGGTTTGTGAAGTATTTGTTCTGTATGGATGAAACCCTGTTTCTACATTTAAAAAAAACCTATCCAAGCCTTTCAAAACAACCACTTCTGTGACACACATTTTGCAAGCCCTTTATATCTATTGAGTGGTGGCTATGCATAATTCATTAAAGGGTCTTTGCATGAATTCTCAATGGGTACCCTACCTATGCAGAATGATTGCCAAGAACAAGTGAGGACATCTCTGAAAATAGTTTGCAGCAGATAGATAAGAAGGGGAATGAACAAATTAGAGAAGAGTGCACTCCAGGCAATCTTCTTTTATTATTCACTCAGGAAAAACTTAGCCCCCCATATTTTACCAGCACTATGTGTGCTAACTCGAAGAAGTCCATGAAATCTATAATGTCATTTAAAAAAAGGCCACAGCTGCAACTGTACAGGTCACTCCCTACTGGGGCTATTCAAGACCATTTATTCAAATAGAAATCCGGCTTGATACTTACTTCAGTTTCCGACACACATGACCCAAGTTGTTTAGCAAAGGCTCCCATTTGTCCACAGTGACCTTAAATTTGAAAGGAAACAGTAAAAGGCATATTTAAAGTAATTCTTTAGACATTGTGTTTTTCAGACATGCATCACAATGATACTTTTCCAATTGAATAAATTAGCAGTTACCTCATTCCCTATGGCCTTGATCTTCTCCATTGCATCCAGGAACAGCCTCTCTGCAGTCTTCCAGCTGAAACAGCAGATGTGAAAAACATTCTTAGCACACAGCTCCTCTGAATTAACTAAATAATAAACCAGATGCCACTGTGTGTGTAATCTGTGTGACCTCAATATGTGACTGCTGTTCAAGCTCATCTTTACATTAGGCGTGTTATGAATTACAGTACTTATATTTGTGTATGTGCATATTCCCCTTAAATGGCCAGTGCCCAGGTTACAGAAAATAACAACACATGCACATATTTTTGATTTGATGTGACAAAGTTTTGAGGTATCCGTCTTTGAGATTCCAGTACAATAAAGGTGAATGTAATTTTGTTTTTTTTGCATTCACAGCCAAACAACAAATTACACTTCATAAACCTAGCCGTCAACAGTATTTATGGAGACGCTAATCAGCAGAAAGTAGTTGAAAATAGTTTACAACCACAGTTACTATCTATGTATGTCAAAACTCGCACAAATCATCAAAATTATCTGCATGGCTGGATACATCTGGGGTTATATGAAAAAATATATCTTTAGTAAACGACCTCATGAGGGGCAGACCTTTCCCCTAAGATGATACAATCTAATAACTGGTAGTTACAACAATGTGTGAGTTTTAGCTGATGCTCAGAGTTATATTCTGTAAACTGTCTACAGGGGAGCTGTTGTACTAACAGACCGAATGAACAGCAGGAGACAGGGCTGCACTGATAGACAACAATTTAATCTAAAATTGTTTCTAGAGAAAAGCAAAACAGCTGATCCTCACTTTGTTGAGCAAGTTATTGTTCATTCAGTGATTTCATATGGTAAATGGATGACGCATGCAGATCATGTTTTTTAAATAGACTTCTTACCTAGTCAAAATCATTCTTTACAAATATCATTGCGGTGTGCCAACATCTGTTTGTGCTGGTAACAACATTTATACGACTTTTGTCAAACTAAAGGCGTAGGTGTTCTTGTGTTTGTGGATGCATGACTCACTCTCCATTTTGAAATGCAACCACTGCCACTTCGTGTATGACGAATGGGTCCTCTGGAGCAATACTAAGAGCCTGGCTGAAGAAACGTTCTGCCAGCTTGGAGTTGTTGGTCAGACCGTACTCCAGGCCGATGTAGAGCATGGGTAAGTGACACCTGAATAAGAAAGTGCAGGACACATCAAGACCCAAGCTATCGTTATTTTATGTTTTAACAACACTTTAGAAAATCAAGAATTTAGAAGCTTTAAAAAGCAACCCTTAAAAAATTGACATATTGTTTGAGTGCTACATTATGTTTGGCAGCCTTTAAAAACTCAAACCAACGATTACTTAAAAGTAGAAATGTTCCTGAAATCGAAAAGGCCAATACTTACACCTGCTTTTTTTTGCAGGTTTTCATGTTTTCATATTGTTTTTCTGAAAGTACCAGTGTAAACAACAAAATGTTAAAGGTGTATCCAAAAAACAAATCTACCAATCCAGACACTTGTGACTGGAAAGACAAACTGACAAACTATAGAAACCTTTAGAGAAGTAACAACAGTTTGTTTTAGCTGTTAACTATGAGCAGCAACATTAATTATATGAGCATTAGGCTAAGTAAGAAGGCTACATCTATGGCTGAGGACATTTTTGGCAGACAATTCTTTTCAATCATAAAAAGTAAATGCCTTTATACATTTGCCTGTCGTCATTTAATGTGTCAAACATCGAACAAAGAATTAATCTGTCAAAGCACAATTTGTGTGCCATTAGTTGTGGCAATGTGAGGTTTTATTGACTGTGTCTCCACAATCTCCGTCTCAGCATAAAACAACTCAGCTGCAGCGCTTAACCGCAACCATTCAGAGGATATTGTTTAAAGAGATAAGCTTTTCTGTACTGATGCTTCATTCTGATTTAGGCAGATAACACAGGCATATTTTTCACATAAAACCTCACCAAGATCGCTTTCAAAGACACACATCTATAAAAGTACATGGAGCTAGGAACTCCATACCATTCAGTCATGTACCTACCCTTTCATCAGCTGGGCAGCAGTGAAGTACGCGGCCATGGCTTGGTCATGCTCACTCTCCACTGCAAATGAATGGCCATATGCAATCCATGCAGGGCCATACGTCCTCTCCAGGGTGGTGGCTTTGCTGCAGGAAATATAGAAAATTGAATATGTGCAAGTGAAACCTAAATGTATGCATGTAATTTGGCCTCAAACAGATACTTTCTTATGAGTGTGCCAATATATACCTAAGGTATCGCCGAGCATGTTCGTTTTTATGGCCAACCATGAGATAGTAGCACCCGACAGCAAACCAGGACACCTGATAAAGAGTTTTTATTTGGTCATCAAATAGTGGAAATTATGTAAACAGGATAAAGTGAAAATCACAACACTTACTGGGTTGTTGGGATACAAGTCTACAAGTTTGTGTGACAGGTAAAACAACTCTGCAGGGGAAAAAAACAAAACAAAACACATAAAAGCTTTGATCAGAGCAAAACTCTCAACTTAAATATTATATTTACGGGAAGCAACCAAAGTAAACATTCATCAGTGGTTGATTTTTTTATTTTTACCATTTGCTTTTCCAAGCTCCACCAGAGTTCCTATATGGACTGGTAAACAGTTGGCATGGAAGGGGTCTTTGACCATCACCCTGAAATACAAACAAACAGCTTCATTAAATACTTTTTGGACAACTTCCATAGTAATCCAAATCACTTCGTGCAACCAGTTTTCTTCAAATCATATCCAGCTTTCTAGTGGAAAACACAAGTGGGTTATGTGAGATATCTTTGAAGCGCCATTGTCTCCCAGTCTATCATTAGTTAAAGGTAATAAAATCTAAATTCACTATTTATTAGTATGAACTCAAAATTCATGCTCGACCAGTAAGTGTAGTACTTGCAAAAGAAAGCAAAAAAAAAAAAAACAAAGAAAAAAACAAAAACAAAAATACAACACACTGAGAAGAATACTGCAGACACCTACATTGATGTGAGTTTGTAGCACATTTTGAAATCACAGTTATAATAATGCCTCTCAGCAAGAGACACCACTACGTCCAAGTTGTCCTGAAGACCATTGACCATCTCTGGCACCACCAAATCACTGGGCTTGTTATACTGCAGGAAAAAGGAGAAGGAGTGAGTATGTGTAAGTGTTTATGCATGTATGTGAAAAGTGGGTGTAAGGTTTAAATGTGAGTAGGTGGAAAAATAGACAAAGCGAGGTCACAAAAACGCAAACAAAGGTGACAGATGAAAAGACAGTAGGAAAAAACCAGGCCAAAATATCCTTATGAGGCATTTGCATTTCAATCAATATTAACTGTATACAAATGAACCCTGGAGCTTGGCAACACTGGAGAGCACCATTTAGTTGTTAGTGCTCTCTCTCTCACTCTCACTCTCTCTCACTCTCGGCTCAAATGGAGGAATAAGGCTGGACGGTAAATGACGAATTGTCCAAAATAGACAATAGTGTCTATGTTCATTGTAATGAAAGAATATGTAATCCAGTGCAACAATATTGCTCATTCCTGTATTTAAAAAAAAATTGTATAATAATGCATCTATGGTATAGAAGAATAAATCAGATTTTTACTACACAGACAATACATGTTATTAGCATCAATTCTTTGTTAGTTTTGGTTTATTCATGAGATTTGTTGACAATAAGAGAATAATAAAATATATCCACTTTATACTTGAATTAACTAATGAGCAAAAGCAAAATGTATTAATTTTAAATGCAGAGTTTTCCTACCTTCTTTAACTTATTCTCAAACAGGAAGTGTAATAACTCCTCCTCCTCCTCAGTGCACTGTTGACTCAGAGGAAGCGAGTCAAGGAAGTCTTTCTCTATTGAAAAATGAATAACATGTTTCACATTGACTGTGATTATAAAAGTTTCTGAAATTACGAAACATGCCACATAACTGTACAAAACTAAAAGATCAGTGCACATCATTGCTACAGATCAACCTCACCTTCCTGCGCAGTCAACATGTGGTGGGACGTTAAAAGGTCAAAGGCTTCAAAGCAGTACACATCCAGCTTCAAGGCCTCTTTGTAGCTGGATGTGGCCAGTGGTCTGTTGTCCATGGCATCATAGATCTTACCCCGCAGGAGGCAGATGGAGCTGTTGATCTGAAATATTTCAGAGAAGGGAAAGAACAGAAGAGGACAGAGGTCAGAGCCTCTAGAAAATATTCACAATATTCCTCATAACGTCACATAGAATTTAGGCTATGTCTATAACATTAACAAGACTCAAGCAGAAATTTGAAAGAAAGGACAAAGTATATTTTATGCCAACAGTATGTGATATACAGTAACAATGACAAACTGGACAGTCATAAACCTTTAATCTGTTTGCAATATATTTCAATATGTCAGAGGCAGCCCATACTTACAGAGGCAGGGGACATATCCCAATCTTTCGTTGACTCTGGTGTCCCATTATCCTCTTTCCCACTCCTGTCCAGTAGCTTCTTACAAGCTGGCTCCTCTGCATCCAGAATATCCAAGGCCTGCTGGAACTCTTTGGCAGCATACTTGGAAAAAAAAACAAAACATCTATAGCATTAACAAAATCTAGCAGGATTCTCTAGATTAAATCCAGCAGTTTATAAACATATAGGAGTGGGTTTAGAAGCCATAGAGAAGATGTATTTTTCATTTACTCACATGGCACCTTGCAGCAAGGTACTGACAAGCTCCATACAACTGTTTGAGGGAGGACAAGTGTTGTTTCAGACTGGGGACTGATATGATTTTAACACATGAGAAAACCATTACAGGAAGCACACAAACAAAAACCCTTAATATATTACCTATCATATTATCACTCATTTCCCAGCACATAGCTTTAAACATACCAATAACTCACACTTAACCTGTGATTACCTTGTCAAGTTTTCGTGAACGGAGGGCATGGGAGGCTCTGTGGTACTGTGATGTCAAGTAAAGGCACTGAGCAAGCCAGTAGATATCCTGGGGATCCTCTATGAATATAAAAAATAGGCACATTCTTTGAGTATTTATTTATTCATTAATGTGGGATTTTAACAAAAAGACAGGGCCATCAATCTCTGATGTTACAGATACATGACTACCTAAACAATATTACAGCTGTTTGCAAGCTAATGGGTTAACCAACATCACCACAGGTTAAAGTTTAATTTCAGCTATTATGGTACGCAACAAAAACAAACAGTACAGGAACAAAACATGAACGCTCTCCCTATAACACACCAGTCATGGTACATTAGCTTTATAACTTAAGATGACAGGTTGGCAAGTCGCTAAGATACCGGCTAGTCATGAACATTAACGTCACTCACCATGGGAAAGGGATGCTATCTTGTCGGCCCAAAACAGAGCACTTTGATATTGTTGCTGTAAACACAGACAAAGAAAGAGTAAGAGTCACTCGAATGAGTAGTTTTTGTTGTGGGTGGTTGGCTGGCTGTTAGCTTAAGGATAGCCAGGCAGGCAAACTATGAAGATTTGTAACCACTGACGCTAGGTTTCCTCACAAGCTAGCATTAGCTAGCAACACAGAAACTCATCAAGAAATCGTAATTCTTACCTGGTCAATGTACTGCCGTACTCGCTTTCGAAGTCTGTCAAGATTCATTTTGATTATTTGATTTTAAGTTGACGCTCTGACTATAAGAAGTGTTTCATTCTTAGAGAAAACTGTGTACCAACTGTGCACCCAACAGTACGAGCTAGCTTGCTAGCTGCGTAAAATCAAATCCGCGGCTTCTTTCTGCAACGAGTGTTCTGGCAAATTGTGCCGTATGGAAACTCATACTGGATGAAGAGTTCCACATTAACATGGTCTTTTTCGCCGTATGTCTTGCTGTAAAACAAGTTTATGAATATAAAAAATACGCACATTGTTTGATTATTTTTTTATTCTCTAATTTGTTAATATTAAATCACAAAAGGTTATTTGGCAACTTGTTAGTGAATATTACATCACCCACAGTCATATTGTGTTCATGAAATTATGTAAGTACACAGCCTATACAAAGTACTACTGCTGGTCTATTTATACTAAACCAGTACTACAGATCATATAACTGGCACACAATATCTGGGTCCAGTTCTGGAGTCAAGACTGTGTTTGTCCAAACGGCTCATGCTACATTCTCTCTACTTTGCAGAAAAACATAGTTTTGGTAAAGCAATCAAGCATTTCATCCTTCCTCTGTGCTTGTGGTTTCCAGTTTGTCGGTTATAGATGTGTTAGGGGGTGTTGGACATTTCAGATCCATCAGAAGCCAAGGACTGTTCAACAGAGTGTTTATCTGTTTTAATTTGAATTGTCTCAGAAGGATTTTCAGGTGTATCTGGTGAGATGGATTTCTCAGGCATATTTGGTTCAGGGACAGGGTGTGTATCTGTGTCCTGCTGGATCTCTGTTTCTCTTTCTTGTTTTTCGCTGACATCTTTCTTCTTTTCATTTTCCTCAGATTCTGATTCGCCATTTGTCTTGTTGCTTGCATGCCTGCGTGTAGCTGTATCTGTGCTTATCTTCTGTTCTTTATCGCAACCTCTGCTCTGCTTGCTGGCTTTCTCTTGTCCCTGATGTTGACATAAGAAATTAAATCTTTATTCCAATATGAAATAAAGATCATGATACAGTTATATAGGAGGAATGTTAGTCTGATGTTACAGTATATATAATGAATAGTATATATATATATATGTATAAATATAACCTTTTGCTGTTTCACTCTTCCTCTTGGGTAATGTGCAATGCTGTCCATCAGCTTAAGAGTTTTGAGCCAGTCCTCATGCCAGCTCTTCACATTATAGTGAGACCTGCAGTGACTCAGGCGGAACAGGATCAGCTGATTCTCCTTGGTAATACGGAGCAACTCCAGCTGTCGCTTTTCCTTGCCAAGGCTACAATGAAGAGGAAAGACAGGCTGCAACAACTGGGTTTTTAGTTTCAAGAGCCACCCATTTCTTGGCAATACAACATGCTGCCTAACTTTAAATATATGTTTTTCACAATGCTGATGGAAAGCCCAACCCTTAACTAACCTTTTCCTGTCATAGTAATTCCTGTTGTCAACTCCTCCAGTTGTCCTCATGATGTGCGATATTTTTTCCATGAGCATATTGTTTTCCCTCTGAATCTTCAGTGCCCACTCCTCTTCAAGCTTAACAAGACAAAATATTTTTAAAAAGAGAAAAATATATTTACACTAGAGGGAAAACGTGGTAGGTTTATACACCTGGGAAATAAGTATTCCATTTTTGTTATGCATTTTAATACTTCATGCTCTGAGGTTAAACGCAGTCATATATTTACTGTGGAATTTAATACTAATTAGAATTGGTAATAATTTTCTCTAGTTTGAGGCTTTACTGGATTGTTTCAGCACCGAAAAATCTGCTGCCACCCTATGGACATGAAGTGAGTTGAGTTGAAAAAGAGAAATAAAGAGCAACCTTTTGTTTCTTCAGCCTCAGAGCCAGGTGACTATAGGTCTCTGGTGGAGTCGTGTTTATTGTTGGTTTAGCTGACTTTACCTTGGGAGAAAAACAAAACAAAACAAATACAGCTTTGTCTCAGGCACGAAATGGTGATGATACAAATTCCAGCATACACTAACTGGATTGAAGAAAAGGTTAATTTGATAAATTTGTGACTAGAATAAAAGCTTGAGGTCAAGACATTTTGAATCTGGGATAACAGGAACAAATACATGTTGCTCCTAACCTTCCTCCTGTGTAAATCATATGAAGCCATGTCCCATTTCTGCTGGAGATATTTGTTTCCACTGGGAAGCAAGGGTTGATATGCCAGATGCTGCATTGTTGTCCTGTCAACAAAAAACATTAAACACAGTTACAATTACAAGCCCCCCACCCTCACTTGAAAGAGAAACACACATCTTTTAATGACGTATCATTCTGCATTTGTGTAATAGTCCAGAATTAATCACATGAACAGCACATTTGCTAAACCAGTCCCTGATGTGACTCACCTGTGGCTGCCCTGGTGTCTCGGTATCACAACTCCTCATCTGCCCGAGAGTGTGTTCATGCTCTGAACCGTCCAGGTTGACTGGAGCTCAGAGACCGCAGTCTGTTTTCTGCCAGTCGCACAAGGTTGCCATGACAGCAGTTCGGGAGAGCGGAGATGAATGAATGGTTTCAAACGATGTGCTTGTTTAGCAAGTTCCACACAGAGAAATGCATACAGGCATCGAGATAGGCTAATTAGTGAGGAGAGAGCGACTGTAAAATGAGCTGCTCTGTGAAGACACTGTTACTCACGCTTACAAGCTGAAAATGAACTGGAATACAAACTGAGTGTTCATATGTGTGTGTGTGTGTGTGTGTGTGTGTGTGTGTGTGTGTGTGTGTGTGTGTGTGTGATTTTAAACTGTTATTCATGCCTGGATGGAGAAAAATAAAAAAATGACACTAATTTATGAACACTGATGTTAGAGTCAAAGGTCAATTAATCTGTTTAATGGGGTGATTGTGAAATAGATACATCAAATGTCAAATTATTACAATTAATAAAAATACTTGACAGCAATGAATCCATGAGTTGAAGGCAAAGTAAGTTACTATATTTTCCTACTTGCTGCATACAGACAGTTACAGCCTTGGTAACAGTTACTTGGAAACTTACATCAGAGCAACTTCAACATACACACTAAGTGCAAACACAGTTTGAACACAAGCCACCCACAGAAAATCTGCTGTCATAAAACACTCTGTAAGCTGATACCTGATCATGAGGGAAAAAATAACTGAAAATTTGGTTTATTTAAAATTATAAAAAATATTTTCAATTAAATTCAAAATGCAAAACACACAGCATTGTATACTATTCAATGGTATCTAAATTATAATATAGTATGTATGAAAAGCATCCTGTGTGTCTTCTGGATTATAAAACACAAAGGAGCGTTATTTCAGATTTGTTGAATGAATCCCATTGAGGTGACTTCATGAATGAACATCTACATTACAACACTCCCCCCTACTGGCTGGAGTTGGCTATTATGATTTTTGGTGCAACTGAGATCACTACTGTTAATAATTCAAATCCCACGCCAGAATGAACAACCAAATCACTCATGAAACTGTAATAGATCAAACTGTAATAGATGATTATATCACCCTTTTTTTCCTGCACCATGATAAACTGTGACTTTAGTGGAACAAAATTAAGTGTATTTTATATAAAAAAAAAAGTCTCAACATTAATATTCAATACCAAACATGTAAAACCTTGTTTAACCAACCGTGAATACTCAAACATATATGCAAATAGTTCCACATGTGTAACTTTTATGATTATTTTACATAATAATACAGTTGTGTAAGATTGTAGGAGTTGTTGTAAGAGCGCCGTGTCTGACATTTCTTCACACATGCCCTCACAGGCCAATTAATTGTTCGCCCCAGTGCAGTCACGTCTCAGTGCTTAGGAAGAGTCCTCATGAATGAATTATGGGCAATAAAATGTTTCCAGTTCAATTTGTTACTCTGTTGTATAAGAGGAGATGCGATGATGAGACAGATGGCGGATACCAGAATGATAAAAGGTGCCTCTAGCTCTCTCTCTCTTCCTTTTTTGTCTTGGTGTTTCCTTTGTCTTTCACATTCCAAAAAAAACAAACAAAATTTCTTGTTTTGTATCCAAGGATTACATGGGGATTCTACAAAAATCATATTCACTATGTTTGTGAAATTGATGCAGGGATTTGGTAAGCTGTTATTATGTGTAATAGGATGGAATCATCTATGCACAGGGCCTATAAACTAGTTGCCATCCAACATTTCATGTGTCCTTTTTATCCACAGTGAATCACAATGGATGTACTTTAATTAGGATATGTTTGGCACTGATCAGCAGAAATAAATCTTTGAAGTAAAAATGAATCTGTACCTGCATGAATTACAAATATAAAAAGTCAATGTTAAGTAGAGGTAGATCAGGCAACAGTTACATCCTTAAGTCTGTGTGGATAGGTTTGATTTTTGGTTGCTGTCTTGCTTTTGCTGCTTCTCTTGTAGACTGCAGGTTTCATTTGACCCCTAACCTTAATAAGCCCTCCAAGGACTGCTACAGAGAAGCATCGTATGGCGCTGCCACCAACAGGCTTCATGGTGGGAATGATGTGCTGTTTTCTGCTGATGTGCAGTATTTGGTTTACACCAAACAGATTCAACTTTGGTCTCATCAGAACATAGAACCTCATCCTACTTTCAGAGTCTCACATGGGAATTCTAGCGAACACTATCCATTAGCTATAGGTGCTTAGATTCATGGGGGATGCTGAGGCCTATCCCAGCACACACTGGTCAAGAGGTAGGGTCAAACCATTCACACTAACATTCACAGCCTCCGCCAACACAGTCTTTAGATTACCTAAGCTGCATGCCTAGGTTTGTAGTAAGAAACTGGTGCACCTGGAGGAAACCCACACACACACACACACACACACACACACACACACACACACACACACACACACACACACACATTATGGCCACCCACAGCTCTCTTGCTGATCTCTCTAGTGGCTTTGTTTCACAAAAGCTAAAGTTTTTAGGATGCTCTGGTGTGGGCCCATTTTCAGCTCTCTTTTCATTTTCATGACTGACCTTTCATGACTTTGATGGATATTCAGTGCTTCAGAAATTCTCTCTCTGTGACTGCTACTTTTCAGTGACCTTGGGGTGGGTTTGTAAGGAATCTTCTTTTGCATTTATGAAGTAGTTTTTGCCTGGAAATGTACTTGGACTTTTCATTAGTTAACCAAAAATTGTCGCACTTTGATGTGTTGATATATGTGTGCCATTATTAAGACGGCAAATATTCATGCATTTAATAGCTTTGTGTCATAAATTTGTAATACATTTAGGCCAATTAGTAGAGATATGTTTTCACTTAGTTTGAGTTTTTTTTTCTGTTGATTACCCTCAAAAATCCTGTTTATGTCCATTTATGTAAAAAAAAAAACAAAAAGAAAAAACAATCTTGTAGGCTCTGTTTCATCATTAATTAAGAGGGGATGTAATGATGCATTTAAGATAATGAAGCTTGTTTTCATGTCCTGTTCAGAATGGCAGGGGATGCTACCAGTTACAGGGAAGTCTCACCGGTGATTTTCACCGTGTTGTTGTGGGAATAAGTGCAAAGAAATACGGTCTCTTTGGGATCGAGGAAGAGCAGTAAGACTTCATACACACATCAACATAATAGAAATTGTGTGTGTGTTCTTGTGTGTCTGTATACATACATGTCTGTTTTTTCAGATAAATTTTTTTTATGTGTATGATGTCTGACAATCATAGAGAAAGAAGAAGAAATAAAAACTACTGCTATTCCATGGGTTTGAATGTCAAATCTGGATGAAGATAATTTTGTTAACAATAATAAGAATAATAAATATTGTCTAATTTACTTAATAAGATCCCTAATCTGTACCTGTAACACTGAACTCTGGGGCCTTGGATTTCCCACCTCCGTCATCATTTCTATTTGATTATGTTATGTATGGTTGTACAGGTATATAGCTGTTCGTAAGAATAAGAAAATAGCACATTTGCTGTAATGTGTAATAAAAACTAATAATTAAAGGAAACTTCAAGTACTTTTTGTACATTTGCTGCTCAGTTTATCGAATTATGGCCACTGAAGAGAAACACCATCTCTACTGATTGAGACAAATACCAGGAGTCCCCCTTAGAGCTCATAATTTTCTAGTGTATGCCTGTGGCCAGAACCACAGTGAGATCAGTGAGGGGAGTCTGTGCATTTCCCCAAGGTCAGAATCAAGTTTTTTTTTTCCTATGTGATGGAAAGCAACTATGGCAACAGGTCCCAAGAGAAGAACCTGTTTAGAGGTGGCTGCCTCACGCTGGCTCCCAATCTGCTTGTTAGGATTACTGAACAGTTACCTGCAATCAAGGAGTTCTGCTATTAAGGTTATTTTGCTGGCTCTGGAACAATTAAAGCTTCATTTTCTCTGTATATTTATGCAGTTAGTTTGGTCAAATGTATCAAGTTGGCTTCAGACATTGTGCATTGCAAATGGACTGGGAAGCTTTAGTCAACAGAAGGTTTCTCAAGAACTCTCTTCTCCACACTAAGTGATCATCTCACAGATTGATGTTGATGAGGCATTACCAACACTGTCTTGACCTTTTTAAAAATAGAAACAGACATTAGAGACATCTCTAGGCACACTACTATTTCTTTTGGAGGGGATCCTGTTCTACCACCATAGACTGTATATAGAGATGAATGTAGCCTCCATGATATAACGCACAGGTTTCTGAAGTGCAGTTTTGAAGCTCAGACTCGGCTGCTCAGACTGGGCTGCTCTTCCGTCGCCATCTTGGCAGTGCCTGACTCCGCCTAACTCTCGGCTAATCCAAAAATGAATAAAGAGGAGGGGCGTGTGGAACTGGTCCTTTGGTGCATGCCGGTTTGTGGCAAACATACATTCACCTATTCTATTAAGAGAAATTAGGCTGCATATAGACTTTGGTCACATCAGGAAATGCAGAAAACATACTGTCAACATTCCTTGCTCGAGTGTTATGTGGCAGTGTCATAAGCCCCAGTTGTATTATCCTCCTCATCTTTACCTTGTCTTTCTAGAAAAACCAAAACAAACAAATTCCCAAACATTTCCCTGGTTAACAGAAACAAAACCTGAACAAAATCTGAAAACTCTTCTCACTTGATATATAGACAGTAGTTTTAAAGTCAACACAATTTTCAGCTAATGGATGGTAGAATAGGTAACGACTCTAAGGCACTGTACTCTCAGCCCCGCTGCTCCATTAATGCTGCTGAGCTACAGAGGAATGGATGCTTTGACTCGGAAACAGGCTTTATCCCTCTAAAAGTGGCTCTTTTGATGACAGTTTGGCGAATACATGCTGCACTTCCTCCTAAATGCAGGAAGTTTGCCCCATTTTAATACTCAAACCCATACAGGCCTATATCCCAGATAGATCTGTGCTATGAAAGCGTATAAATAATGAAAGATGCCGTCTTTACAAGTTAAAAAAGACCCA